TTAGTCAATATCCCACATTGTGATAACAGAATATCTGCAAGAAATGGTGAAACGTTGTAAGAATCTGTATCTAAAGTGGATTACATATATATATATATATATATATATATATATATATATATATATATATATATATATATATACGTTACGTTACTTACACCGTCTCTTTATAGTTTCCTTTGTTTAGGGCTAATGCTGATGATTATTTACGTTCAGGATCTATAGGCTACTTATTTATATATGCATTATTTAATATTTAATATTTCATTAATTTATTCATTGTTTTGTATGTATTTTTTTTTATCTTTCCTTCTAAGTTCTGGTGACAGGAAAAAATTTTATTAGAATTTGGTTATGAGATATTTATATGGATTTTCTTTTTTGGCTGCATTGTAAATGAATTCAGTGCTATTGTTTAGGGACGTTCTGTTATTCTTACATATAGTTTTCTGGAAACTGATTTACTTGGTCCTCATACGTCGAAATCGACGGGAGAGTCGACTATATATATATATATATATATATATATATGTGTGTGTGTGTGTGTGTGTGTGTGTGTGTGTGTGTGTGTTTTGTAAAAAATTAAGATATAAATAGAATATGTCTGTAAAATCAATATGAATAAAAACAAAAGGAAAAGGTTTCTTTAGCGAAGCGTTTCCTCCTCCGATGGATTTTCATTTCCATGATAAAGTCCATCAGAAGATGAAACACGTCTGTAAAGAAAAGATTTTTTTTTCCTTTGTCTTCATATATATATATATATATATATATATATATATATATATACAAAGGACAAAGGGGAAAATATATATATATGTATATGTTTAATTGCGCGTGTGTATTTGCGTATAAGCTAGTTTACCAAGAAAAGTTTTTTTTTAATCATGCACCATCGCAATTCATCCATTTATAGAAATAATGTGTCTTTTGTGCTCAAAATGGCATAAACTTAAGATTTATCAGAGTTAACAATATTTATCAAAGAACGATTTTAAAAATCTGCACAAGAGGTTTTCTAGAAAATAATTTTTGCTTCTTTCTTTTATTTATCGGCATTAATGAGAGGATAAATTTCCATCCAATGTTTGATAGAAAAAATATTAATCATTTTCAATGTCATCAAAGTGAGAAACTGTATAAATAGCATGTCGCTTGCTAACAGAAAAGGGCAAGTGCTTAAAGGGATTTTACATAAACTCGTATTAATCACGTACCTCCAAACCTGCTGTTTTTTCGCCATTTTTTCTACAAATATCCAGGCATTGTTCGACTGAAGATACGATGCCTTTATAATGCATTGCTCGAAATATACTATCTCTGTAACATCCGATGAGCTCTGAAAGAAGAGGGTATATTCTCATATTCTGGGAATGTGTATAACGATGAACGTAACTTTGCAAATTAGAAGGAATATAAAGTACCTCTTCAAGTCATCATATATGAAAACCTCAGGCAAACACATGCACTCATACACGTATAAAAATGGCTACGTAGATTTTGTTAATTTTTGTGCATATCTTGGAAGTTAATGAACCAGTTAAGTACACATGACTCATCCGAATATTAATTCGTATATCTGTCTTTAGGAATATCCAACTGGGTCTCAAAATTGTTTTTTGTACACTAACTTATACAGAGGATTGATATTTGCAATTTTTAATTCTTTATCGAGATGAATGAGTGTTTGCTTCAAGTTCCTAAAAACCATAGCTTAACGCCTGATATCTCTTAGTGTGATGGTTTTGGGCCTTGTGGATTTTTTTTTTTTTTGCAACTGCTCACAAACATTGATCAGTCTTTCTTCACAACATGACACGTAAATAGAGTTTTTATTTTCGCAAAGGCTGGAGAGTTTTGTGTAATGTACTACCAGCTTGCAGCTATGTCGATGTGGCACGTTGTAATTCTGAGAAAGAATTTTCTTTTTGGAAAAAAAAATTATAAATTAGATTTAGAAATTATCAAATGACAGCTAAATATAAGATTTACTGTCTGGAAAATTATTTTAAAATCATTTTTAAATAAAATGGCTCTGTAAAAAATAGTGTGTACCAGAATACAAAAACATGAATAAAAACCTATATAGATATATACATCAGCACGCACAAATACTAGCACAGTAATTCAAGAATAAATGCTTATCTTTATGCTTACTCAGAGCGCATATTGTGGACGGTAGAACCAATACGAAAACTGTAAGAAAGAAAAATAATTTTTTGTCAGTTTGATTTTTAAAAATAGTGTTGTGAAAGAAATGTAATGTTATTTCCTGGAGATTTTTTTTATCTTAATTTAAGCACAGTAACATACGACAAGTCAATAAATTAATACCATTAAGAATTAGTATAATGAAACTTTAGATATATTTGCAACTCTCTGAGCATCCTTATGTTTTAAGATTCTGAATATTTTTGTGTTATGGATGTTTTACGAAACATCTTGCATAAGGAAGAAAATATTTCGAAAAATCTATAATTAATTTTTGATTAAATCGACTAAAAACGTTGATCCGTAAAAAGCACTTTATAAGTTTTATTATAATTTGCAAGATTAGTAAATTAATGTTTAATTAATTCAGAAAATCCTAGCGAATACTGAATTTAAATAAGTTTATGACAGTCAGAAAATATATATTTCACTTTGTTTCATAACTTGTAAATTAAATTCAGTTTTGAGAGTAAAAATATTTCCACGAATCATTATAAAAACTTTCCTATCGACATACTGCGATCGAGTCGACATATTTTCATCAAATTTAATGAAATTCAATAATTTATCTTATTATTCACCTATTAAAAACAGATCCTTTAAATAGTTTTAAAAAACATTTGCGAAATAAGATTATCTGAAAAAATCTTACCCCAAATTTTCCACATGACCATTGTCTTTGGATTCATTTTTCCAGATTGTGGATATCACATCGTTACAGGCACCCTCTATTTATACTGGCTATTTCACAGATATATTGATTACGCTTATTGATAATTAGTAAATCTCAAATCTTGGGTGGTTACGAATTTCGTATGTCATTGTTCTCAATTCTGATCGATCCAGGTCAATAAGATTTAATATTTTATTTGCCCTCAGATTTTAAGCAGGTGTTTTCGATTTTCGAACGTGTACTATTTACACATATTTGTATACATTTTATACATTCTTTTGAATATGTATATTCTATGCTTTGGTATTTTCTGTGGTCAGAAGTACAGAGTTAGAAAAGTCTTGAATGTTAACAATATTTGGTATTAAAATTTAACTACCACCTTTAATTTTAGATATAAATTGATTTTACCATATTGTAGAGGGTGTTCTAAAAGTTACTAAGGGGTGCCAGAGATTAATAATATTTTGTTTATTAACTTATTTAGTTCTCCTTCAGTTATTTTATAATGGAAGCTATGGAAATTAATCATATTAAAATACACGACTAAAAAACGAGCACACGTAGTGCAATCTTTCTACCAAAATCAAGGATCAATAATTCAAACTCAGCGATCATATCGTCATCATTACAGTGTGAGTGATTCTCCGAGATTAAGAGTAAAGATCCAGTAAGTGACCATCCACGAAGTGGAAAATCACATTCGGTTAGAAACAAAGGGGTATTTGAGTGAGTAAGGTATAATCTCGAGGAAAATCCGAGCGCATCAAATCGAAGACCCTCTCGACAGGTTCGAATTTTTACATGCTTCAACCTGTTTCCGAAATATAAGATGGGCAACAGCTCATAAGACAATGGCCAAAATCCAGCTACTCATGCAAATTTTGGGGAAAAGAATAATTTCTCAGTTGCGACATAAACTGGACACCACGTTCCCTGGATCTGACTAGCACAGAGACTCTCTAATAACTGAAGGACAACATTCAGACAGACATCAAATCAGTAGAGCTTGAAAAACTGGGGGTTGTGATGGAGAAAGCCTTAGAAAGAGCACGATCGAGTGAAGCTGAAAATGGATGTCACTTATAAGATGTAATCTTTCTCAACTAGTGTAAATTTATTTCCAATATATACTCTATATAGGACTATGGTAATTTGAATTTAAAAAAAATTGATTTTTTAAAATTTTGAAATCCCTTCACTCTTTTTGGGACACTATAAATATGACTACCATAAAACATAGGCACTATTCGATAAACAGAATATTTGAAATTATATATATATATATATATATATATATATATATATATATATATATATATATATATATGTTTTTTTTTTTGGCAAGAGGTAAAGTAAAATCAGTAATATATTTAGGCTTTATTGATCTCAAACGCTTGAAGATTCCATAAAAAAATGACAAAAAATAGTCAATTAAAAATTTTTCAACAGTTGCCGACGTGGATATTCTTAAACAGTTATCTTGCTATAATATCTGGATTAATATATTTTCTAAATTTTATTAAAAAACATTATTTACATTTTTAGCATGAAAATTATTATATTTTATGTCCCAATGCCAATTTGATTTCTACGGACAATATGACATTTAATGACAATATGAACTTTGATGACAATAAAATTGGTTCTGATTAATGCATTGAGAATTCGCACAGACAATATATCTGTATAGGCGATATTTCTTACGTGTTCTCGAATAAATAAATCAAATAGGATATTTTCACTGGCATTAACTTGACTTTTCTAAGGACAGTACCTAGTTTATATTATAATGTAGGTCATTATCACATTATTTAGAAAAAATGTTTGAGAAAATATTGTTTGATTCTTTGTTTATTTTATTTTACGGCTTATCAACCTTTTGTATGTTATTTAAATCCAGATTCTCGATTGTAACAATTTTTTGGAGATAATAATGATTTATGGGTACAATTTCTACGAATTAACCCATTACTGGTGAAGGAAGATGCGGATTCGTATTCTACCCAAGTGTATTTGCGTGTAAGTGAATATGACGAACACTACTGGAATCGGAACTCGGCTCTCCAATTTCTAATTCAGATCTGTTTTCCATTACACCACCAGCACATACAAGCTTACAGCACCTGGTATTCTCAAGCGGTCACCCATCTAGGTACTGACCAGGCTCGCTGTTGCTTAACTTCGGTGATCATACGAAAACAGAAAATATTTCAGGGGTTTATTAGAATAATTATTTACTGCCTGTCGAAATGAAAGAAAAATTATGATTTTGTTCATGGACAACTGAAAATTATTGGCATCGATCTTCCCATGTTCTTGGGCTTATTTCCTTAAGCCTTCATATGAACCATTCGTTTTCGTATATGATATATAAAATTTCTATATATCAGAAAAAATTTTAGGCAATTCAGTGACAAAGTTGAAAAATTTTGTGTAACGCGTTTTGTTTTCTAAAAAGATTTCATCGGACTAAAGTAAAGTTATTGGTAGAATTATTTATATATAACGAATGAGATATAAACGTAAACATCAGTCGTAATTATACATTGAGTTGGAGCATTGAAAATCCGATGACAATATTTAATATTTAATGTATTTCGAATTCACCGAGTATTTATAGCAATATTACTGCCATCATTAAGTAAATATATATTCAAAGGTTGTTAATTTCCTTGGTTACATAAATCAAATACAATTGCTTCAATATTTCTTCTTTTGAAAATGTTATCCGAGAAAGACCGATATTTTAATTTATAAAATAGATATTATATTTGATATAACAACGTGGAAGAATATAACCCAGTATGAAACTTATATTTTGGTTGAAAATTCTATTAAATTATTATGTTTTACTAAGATTTAGACTTGTTATAGAATTCAGTTGCACTGGCTTCAGATAAGTTATATATTTCATACAATTAGAGATTGTTATTTCATTTTACCTTTATCGTTTTTAATACGGTCAGTTATTTGATTTTCTTGGCTGGTTGTTACATCATTGAATATTTGTTTAAACATTTCGAAATAAGGTTTGATTTTTGTTACTTACTTCTCTCATCAGCGCTACGCTGGAGTGTAATTTTTTTTTTAAATGAATACTTTTGAATAAATCTACATCATAAATGCGAATGTCAGTGTATCACGCTGTTTCAATTAAAGGGGAACAACTCTCTAAATCTCAAACTCGTCTTCTTCTATATAATAAATGCGAATGTCAGTGTGACACTGTGTAACACATTTTTTAAAAACTTTACTCCTAGCGGCTGTAGCCAATCATATACCATTTTGGAATCAGGCCGTCTCCGTGAGCAAATTAAAAACATGCTGAAACCGCAGTTATGAAGTTTTGGATTCCCAAGTTTTCCTTAGTGCGATTGTTTCGGCGATTTTTTACGTGAATTTTTGTGACAAATTTTTTGGTACGGTAACAATTTTTATAACTTGGAAATAAATTTCGGAATAATCGAAATTAATTGCAAAATCCAGCGAACGTCAACAATGAAATAGAAATAATTGTTTGTTCGGAAAGTAGGATCCTATGTACATCAAATTGTTTTTAAATTAACTGGCGACAGAAGAATTATCGTTAACTTTTAAAAGGTAAGCTTAAATATTATCACAATCAATTTTGAGTTCTTCTGTAGTTTATTGTTGCATATTGCATCTATTCTACCCTACCTATTGTGATGAAGGCCAAATCAAAAGCCATTCGCGGGAGCTAACTTAAATGCTGCCCGATAGGGCGGCTTTTATCTAGTAATAAAATATAACAATATTCTTTATTTTGATTTCTTTTCTCAAATGATATCTTGTCATGACGGGGTACAATTTTTTTTTAAATTATTTTAATTAAACGCAGGAGTAAAATTTGCATCTATCTTTTTGATCATGTTTATAAAAGATTTTCTGGACACAAATTTGCTTGCCGAACTCTCTGTAGTCATTAGCTGTTAAATGTTTCCTTTGCCGTCATTTTCGGAGTGTCTCACATTTTTCGTTGGCTAATCATCATTTGAAATTAAAAACAATTCCATCTGTACGTTTTATAGTTTTGAGATATTTGAATTCAAAGTTTCTGTAAACATAACATTTCATAATTTAACAGATACCAAATATAATTTACTCTGTTTTACTTGACGATCTTTGTACATAACTTAAGAGTTCATTTAGTATGTTGCAGGGGCAGCGTGTCACAGCTTACAACTAATAAACAGAAACAAGAAAATTGGAGATAAAAACATTTTACTCTCAATAAAAAACATAAGCATAATTATTTCTGTAAATATAATTGTTTTGGCGTTATTAGTTTATCTGATCTACATACACAATTTTGAAATAAAAACAAACATTTCTAAAGACAAAATATTTTTTAGATACTGGCTGATATGAAACACGAAGTAAAATATATATTTTCAACTGATGAAATAGAATCAATGTTATATATACAATATTTAACTGTGAAAATTGTGTTAATCGAAAATGTATTCGGTCACAAATGATTTTACATATCAAATTACTTAGCATAACGTGTTAATATAATTCCATACTTCTAATTTCATTTGAAATATTCACGCTTTCAAATCTACAAAATTAAATAATAATAAGAATATGCTAGATGCGTACTATAATGACACAATGCTTGAAATCACTCTTCACACATTTATTTAGGTTCTCCGATCAGCAGCCACCACTTGTTCGTTAGGGAAATTGGTTAGCGTATTGCAAAACCTGCTTGTCAAATTAGGCAAGAGTCAGTTGCACAAAAAACAGTTGACTTTGAACACCAAACACAAGGTGTAAATGCTCGTGAGTCCCTTGTACCATATTTTATGAAAAATAATACGAGAAGAATTACGCTTGACAGGGAAAGCGCCAGCAGAACTTTCACTTTCGCTACTTACGACGTATCATTTGTATCACATGACGAGACAAATTAATTAACGCCGCTATGATGAACCAAGTTGGTTATTTGAGCATGTATCTCTTCCTCTTTCGGCTGTGATGACTGGGATTCCTGCATCGCACGGAAAACGCTCACATACAACGTCCGAACCGAAGAAGAAAAATATTGAAAGAAATAACTTCGCTCTAAAAGCAATGTTTCCTATTTATTTCAAAAAGCACTACAATAGACACAAGGAATACTCCGTTGGACAAATCAAGTTTTCAGCTCCAAAAGTCATTTTTCTTTACCGCCATTTACAATGAATTTTCGAGACTATTCTTTTCATCGATTGACACTTGTGCATGTCCGATTAGAACGTAACCAACTTCCAGAAAATAATAAAATAATAAATAAACAAAAAATAAATAAATGGATTTGGTTACTTGATCACTCAAGGGAATACCGAAAAATTAAGATGTTCTATATTAAGGTGGCGTGAGAGTTACTGATTTTAAAATAATAGTTAGAATTGCCTTTAGCATAGCAACGTGGAACAATTGTATTAAGGTCTTTAAATCACATTTTAGTGTTTCCTTCTCGGAGACAAAAGATCAAACTGGAACAATACGATCCACTAGCTTTAATAGCATAAATCGACTGTAACTTTGTCACGAAAATATAGAAGATCCCAATCTCAGAATCCCTGAAAAGAACATCTTATCATTAACTTAGGATTTTGAAATTATATTAAAAGCTGTTCCAAATGTATGACTTCCAATTACATACCGGCAATAGATTTCTGTAGTCATTTTCATTTTTTTTTTTTTAACTTTTCAACAACTAGGTAAATTCAGAGAAATTCTGAAGCCTTCAAGATTAATCTTTTGCTATATTTTGCCTATGTAAATGAGCAGATAACCTCTTTTTTAATACTGCCAACAAGAATTTAGCAAGCAAACTAAAAGGTAAGGTGGATATCAACTATAACTTTAAGCTAGACGTGATCCTCATATAACAGAAAATAGCGCAAAAATATTTCGGGTTGACATTACTATTTTCTGATCATATTTTTAAAAAAATTTAAATTCTAGATTTAAATGCTCTGAGTTATTTACTTTTAGTCTCTTCGCTTAAAAGACCGCAGTAATATCTTTCTCAACTTTAGCTACCTTATAGTAGATTATGAAAACAAATTCAAGGAGTTCATAAAAAAGCAAACTTCACAAAACCAAAAATACGGTGTTTATATGAGCCGGATTAAGATTTTGATGTTTTTTAACTGAACATATGTGGTGTGGTGTAATGGATAGAGACACAATTAAAAATCAAAGAATTTGGCAAACATTTCGAATTCAAGCCGGGTACATGACATTCATTATGCGCAGATACCCATGGGAATGAATCTGTCACATCCCACCCCACGCCATCGATGGGTTCAATAGCTGGTAATCAGTTTACTGTAGAAAGAAACTGTAGCGTACTGCGGGAAAAATCTTCTGCCTAGTCCGTCATGGATCGAAAGAGGCATGATCGCTTATGCTTGTAACATGTGAGACACTTAACTGATTGATGTTCTTGTTACAGACTATCTTTTTACCTCTTTGTATATCTATACGTGGTGGCATGGATTTTATTGTATACACAGCAGTAAAAGTATTAGTAACTTTTCCATTGTTAGTTAGCAATATTTTCATTAGCCGTTACGTGAATGGTATCATATTTAAAGGGACGTAACACACACACACACACACACACATATATATATATATATATATATATATATATATATATATATATATATATATATATATATATACATATAATTATTTATTTAAAAATTATAACATAAATATGTTATAAAATCACTACAAAAATAGCCATTTTGTTTCAACACCTCCGGTGTCATATCAAGTTTAAAAAATACTTCATATGAGTAAAAGTATATCACTTAGCCGATTAATATTACTTTCAGCATCCTGACTCCAGAGTTTCGTAGATGGACCTGTCCTTCAACTCTTCAGCGGACATCAACAATTTATCCCTGCCATGAGTAGTTAAACTAACTTTATTCAAATAGATCACTTCTGATTGAATTGCGACTGCTTTCATATCAGCGTGCATCTTTTGAAAATTACTCATTAATTGTTTGTTGATTCTCACATTAAAATTAGATAAAAATAAGCAATATTTTGATACACTATTCTTTTGATTTTAAGAAAGGTATACAGATGACTAATTCATGTAGATTATGGAAAAGTTGCCGTTCATCTTTGAAAAGATGTTTCGGATGATTATTTCCATTTAAATAGTGCTCCCC